ACCTTGTCGCTCGCGGCTTCGTAGATCTGCGGAGCTGCGATGGGGTAGTGCGGGTTCGCCTCCAGCGCCCGGAAAAGCTCGCAGGCAAAGTCGCGCTCCATGGGGTAGGCGTCATTGTGCATCAGGACAGCATATTTTGTCTTCAGCAAGGGCTGCACCTTCAGGAAGCCAGCAATTGGTGCATCTGCCGCACCGACGGCTACCTCAGTGAAATGCGTGAAGAGCTTGTTGCCGACGCTCTGGGTGTCTACGTGGCGGCAGCCGCGGATGGCGGGGTAGGCGTAGTAGACGTGCATGTCCTTGGGGAAGATGGTGGAGAGGTGCGTCAGCAGTTCCTCTGCTTGCGCGCAGGTGTCCTTAACTGTCACCACCAAACTCACGCCCTGGACGAGATCGGAGTCTGAGCAGGTTGCATACTTTGGCGCCACGGCATCAGGAATGCCCGGCAGCGTCATGTTGCGGAAAAGGCGGCGAACGCATGGTGAGTACAAAACTCGCCCCAACGTCAGGGCCAGGAGCACAGCACCGCAGAAGCGGGAGCTGGAGAGCTTCGCAAAAAATCCCATCTCGTCTACACGTGTCTGGCAAAATATTTTGGCTTGAGCCAAACACACCTGCATCGTGCAGCACTTACACAAATCAATCTCGAAGGTCCACTCTGCGAGTGAACAGTGACACAACCATGCAGGGTAGGCGTCTGGTATTCTTCCCCGTTTTTGCATGGTCCAACAGGTACATATGGGGGTTAGGGCAGGGTCGCGCATCGCGCTGGCAGACATGTGGTCCACCGGCTGCGGCAGGTGTCGAAGGAGGATGTGTATGTGTGTGTGTGTACATGCAAACGTATACTATCATATGCTTTTCTATCTGTGAATGCAAACACGCGGGATCACGTGGGTGCAAACGCAGCCGCTGCAACTACATGACCAGCCTTTCGTGCCACGCATGCCGCGCATGCGTGTGGAGGTGTCTCTGAAAAGTTGAAAACACACATGCAAAGCCTGAATGATAATGCATGCATGTCAAGGTGCACATCGTACAGGCTTGCATGCACATACATGCCTGGTATGCGCCAGTCGTCAGCGGTCTGATGGGTTGAAGGTGGCCCTATGGACTGCTGCACACTTGCATCACACCGACAGCTTTGTTCACCAGATCTCGCGCACTGGCACTCGGTAATGAATGTGGATATGGCTCAGCCACCGCAGTAGCTAGCCACGGGCACTGCGGTCCATCGAATTGTGAGGGCATACCTGACACTCCCCTACTCGGACTCTGCATCACCTGCCCCAGGATGACGTAGGGCGATGCAAGGCTCCAAACAGATTACTGACTGCTTCTCTGTGCAGCAGGGGGCCACCGAATTATGGGAAAACACAAGTAGACGCCTGCACCCAGACCAACCTTTAGGATGGAAGTCTCGTCTTAACTTAAGATTCCAGGGCATAAGATGTATCGATTCAAAGCCCGAAAGAGGGCACCCGATTTTTTTTATGATGTCCCGTGGTGTGGTCTGGGTACCAGCCTCAGGAGAGAACCCAAAAAGCTCTCGGGGGCACAGACTGCTCCCCAGGATGACTTAACGGAGGGACCTTAATAACTAGAATAGGGTTTTGGAGTATATCATACTATAACTCTAAATAGGAACGACCAAAATAATATTGGTAATTATTTAGGCTCCTACAGTATATTACTTGTGCCGAGTTCGCGAAAAACGGGCCATGGTTTCGCAGCTGCATGTGCCCCCGGCAAAACATCATTCAGCAAAATTCACGAGGGAGGCCCGAAGGAACCGTCAGACCTGCTTCGGCAAGAACGGCTGTTAAACCTGAACTGTATGGATCAACATATGAGCCTCAGCACCCAGGCACAGGACCAAGGGGACCTCGCTCCAATGCGGCATGAGCATCTCACCACCGACCCGGGTCCGCTTTAGTCTCTCTTTGTTACTGAGCAGCCTCACGTTCCACGACCACCTCACACCGAACAAACGTACACTCCTAAAGATATAGATCTAGATCACGAGCCGTCACCCAGGATGGGCCCTTGAGTGACGACAGATGCCCGAGATTGAAAAAAGAATGAGACAGTGGCACTGGCTGATGCAGCCTCTTCAGTTCA